ATCCTCAGAATATAGCGCTCTGATATCATTTGGTGTGTGGGTCTAAAAATGGAAAAATACAATTAATTAAAAAATAACTAATATCAAAATTTTCAGGCTAAAGATAGGTAGAAAGAGTTGATGGTGAACTGATAATTATATAAGGGTTCTCTACCTTTTTTACTTCATAGACATTCTTCTATAATTACAATACAAGGTATATGGAAATGTAACTTTGAAATTAAGTTATCCCCACAATTCCTTAATTAGGAATACATATGCAATCTAGTAAAATTTGCATCCCCAAGTTTTGAACTTTCTCATATAAGTTCACAAACATTATTGTTAACACCCACATTTTTAGGGTTACAAATTAAACTTAGAGTTTATCAACGTTTCATAGTTCAATTCATTAATACTTTCCAAGCATAGTTCAATTCATTATCAACATTTCATAGTTCAATTCATAGTACTTTCACAATAGTGTTCATCAATCCACAATATATTTCAATGGTATACAATATACTACAATCCAACTACATTTAATTTGATTAAAGTCATCACATAGACGAACAATGTTTTTCCAAGCATAAACCAACTTAATTGGTTTTACATATTTAAATGTAGTATAGTACAATAAATAGGACTATGAATCTTGATTCACAAGAATTGCAATTTCTCCAAATATATGCAATTATCATATTTATGACACTTCACAAGATAGTATTATTCCATGTCAAATCATGGGTAACTATTCACCCTATTTACCATACTCTTATGCAAATATAATATTGCATAAATCATCTCATTTAATTTTATCAAATTAATTGAGGCTATCATTATTAACCAAAGTTAATATCATCTCAAAAAAACATGAAATCAACTAACTAATTCACCATGTCGTTTTCATATTCCAATATAAGGAATAGTCATGAAAGTTCATGTACTTTCAAATAAATAGTTGACATTCTTCCAACATATATACAAGTCCAATGGATAGGAGTAAATTTTCTCCTTTCTAACCATTCGTTGTTTGACTAGTATTAATCTTGACAATATCCAAATCATCACAATGAAAGTGAAGGAATAGCAACTTATTTCCAAACATTTATACATGCATTGTATAAGTTTATTCTATCTTAGTCAACACACATTGACTAGGAATATCAAAGTTTCATGGATGTTGATTGCACTTTCACATTATAAGAAATGTTGCAATCTTATTATCTCAACAAGAATAGCCATTACTACAATTGAATCAAACAATGGTCAAAACATGCACCATGCTCTTCATATAGGAAACAATCAATTCTTTATTGACAACTTAACATTTGGTATACCCCTTGCCACCAAAATCGATTTTGAAAATACATTTAGACAATAAAGATGCACTACTTTATAATTGCCTTAGAAACACATATGTATTTTCAATTCCAAGTCCTCAATCAATAAACAAAATGTAAAATCACTGTTTCATGAAAAATCATGTTTTTCAAAGACATACTTGATTTCCAAAAGGACACAATGTATACTAGTTTAAAATTTATTTACAACTTATAGTATATAAATTATTTAATCAGAATGAATTGTATCTCCAACCAAATTATCGTGCACTAAATAAACAGAAGTCAATGCATGTACCAACAGATATACATGTAATTTGATAAAAGAAAGTATATCACACACATGGTTGCTGCGCAAATTTTATATTGAAACTCATATGAATTCCTTCTCAAAGCCACTTACTTTCAACTACAATAAACACATTTGCATGCACCGGTTCATGAAAATGAATTATGAACAAATGAAAATAAATTTATAATTCTGAACATGCAGTTTTATCACAATATACATACTTCAATTTTGCAAATGAACCAAAACACATATTTAAAGTGACAAAGTTTTAAACTATTAAATTTCAAAGGATACGCTTTTCCATAATTTAATTTGTTCACAACAAACTTATTTATTAAATATGCACCTTTTTTCATCATTTCATCATGTAAACACTTATTTACATGCACGGCATTTTTATTTGAATGAATACAACTTATAATAAAAGTCCAATCATATCCCTTCACTTTGATATGTCTCATTGTCGGTACAAAAACTCGGTAGACAGTATTCATATTGCGAATTTCTTGCAGGGGTTCACAAGCAAACGGAGGTCAAGTAAGAATGAAGTAAGCATGTGCGTTGGGAATGGAGTTCAAGTGAAAGTCGAGTTCATAGGAGTAGTGAAGTTGTCTTTAGAGTTTGGTTTCTCTCTTGTTTTAGAGAATACAGTTTTTGTACCGACAATGAGACGGAATTTAATTTTTATATCGAAATTTGATGCTTCTGGTTTTTCTTTTAATTTTCATGGAATGGTTGAATTATTTTATGATTCTCGTTTGATTGGAAATGGTCTCTTATGTGATGGTTTATATAAATTGCTTTTGACTTCTTTTGGTGAAGTCTCTTGTGTTGCGAATTTGTCAAAGAAAATATCTCTAATTCGTGAATCATCATCCATGTTGTGGCATAAGCGGTTGGGTCACATTTCAAAGGATATGATAGAGAGATTGGTTAAAGGCGAGATACTTCCCTCTCTCGACTTCTCTGATTTTGACACTTATGTGGATTGTATAAGAGGAAAGTTGACTAAACCGCTAGGAAAGGTTCCACTAGGAGTGATGGTACCTTGGACTTGATACATACTGATATTAGTGGACCTTTGCCTTCCACCATATGTGGGAATAAATATTTTATAACTTTTATTGATGATTTTTCGCAATATGGATATGTTTAATTGATTAATGATAAATCTCATGCACTTGAGAAATTCAAGATTTTCAAAATGGAGGTAGAGAAACAATGTGGGAAAAGTATCAAATTGTAAGATTTGACCGTGGTGGTGAGTATTATGGGAAATTTGACGAGTTTGGTTAAAACATGGGTGATTTTGCAAAACAATTACAAGGGTGTGGCATAGTGCCTCAATATACCATGCCAGGAACACCTGAATAGAATGGCGTTTTTGAAAGATACAATCAGACTCTAAAAGACATGGTTAGGAGCATGATGAGTAGAACAAATTTGACAGAATATCTATGGGGTGAAGCGTTGAAAACTACTATGTATATTTTGAACAGAGTTCTGAGTAAGGCTATTGCAAAGACACCTTTTGAGTTGTGGACATAACGTAAGCCAAGTTTGGCTCATTTCAGAGTTTGGGGATATCCAGCAGCTGAGGTGAGAATTTATAAAAGGAAAATCTCACAGAGGAGTGTGCAAAACCCAGACAAACGAAGAGAAATCTGGATGATCAGCTCTGATCAAAATGTAGCTCTCTTCGTCAGGAACGACATACTAAAATATTAGTAAAATCGGACCACAAATGGACCTTCGTTCGTTGGCAAGATGGAACCAAAACGGTAGCTTCTCTCACTCTCTCGTTCTCTGTCTCTGTCTGTTGTATGTGTGCTATGTTTAAAATTGTTCCCTCTTCCTTGCATATAACTAAGTTAACTTGGTCTTGGGCCTAAGGAAGTAAAGGCCCACTAACCATTAAAATGGGTTCCCTCACGTGGAGGGAAAACCCAACATTTATACAACAATGTCAGCATAAATAGATTGATGCTTTAATATGTACATAAAAATAAAAAGCATTTTATTATGTATTTATAAACATTCTATACCTCTTTTGTCACCATCACCATACAACTCTGTCAAAACTCACCTAGTACTAATCTAGCTGACTGTATATTCCGAAGTCCATATTGAATTCCGTGTTTTCAAACATTAGTATGAAGCCTCAACTGGCCACTTGTAATCTACTTGACAACTAAAATAATTATTGCAGAATTTTACAAATTTAAAACAAGACGATTTACATATTCAACGAAATGCATGACTAAATAGAAAGATTATGTAGATTTAAAAAAAAAAAACATGTTTATGAATATTATTTTTAAGAAAACTGATAGGATACCAAATGCTGCCCCTGATTACACAGAAGAAAACTCAGCTACCGTGGCTGCTGGAGCTGCCTCTACCCTGCTGTAAATGAAGTGCTGCTGCTGAATTTTGGGAAGCACCGAATCTGGTTGATTGGTACTGGAGTTAGTGTAACCTGTTCACCACATAGAAGAGTTTAACTGAACTCCTGGAATGGAAATACAAATGTATAATGAGTGATATAGACCTATTCATTCATTCTCTAGTACTGAAACGTTTCGGCTTCTGCTCCTACATCGTAAGGAAGTTGAGTCCCTTCTTCCTTCTGTATATTATGAATTTGGCTGAGTTGATTGTATGGAAAATAAGACTGTATAAGGTTTATTTCACGGCAAACAGAAATGATAAATTTCCAGGCATTCGAGGGACCTGAACTCTCCTACTTGATTCTGTTGGAATCTTGTATCGAAAATTGGTTTTGACCAATTTTAAATGATTATTTAAGTGAAATTCACTATTTGATGAATGAGAAATTGAGCTAAATTTTAGTTGCTTAAATACGTGAATTGTTGGAAAAGCGTATAGAATATTATGAAATATTCTAGAAAATATTTGGATGGAAATGTGTGTCTTTCCATATGAAAGATCATGATTTTTGGTATGATTATTTGTCAATAGGTATGTCTCTTCATATATAGAGATAAATTTCAAGAGGTACGTCCTTTTGTATGGTTGTGTCTTTTAACAAACATTTTCAACTACTATATATAGATCCTACGTGTTTGGATTTTATTAATTGAATTCATAATTCCATATCATTTCTTTTAGTTGTATTGCATAAAAACACTTTGTAAAAGTGGTCTTTTCTTACACAAAAAAAAATGGTTCAGTAGAGAGAATTTCGTTAAGAGTTCGTTGGTCTTCGTAATTTAGAGTGCTCCTATTGCGAGACGTGATTATTGTATTTTGAGAGATGATTACAGAAAAATCGTTAGCATAGATGTAGGGCAAATTCATCTTAAGGAGGGTGCATGTGAACCATGGGAAAAAAATAACAATACCACCCTTTATGGTCATCACCCACAACACAGTTTCGAGGCTGAAATAGGGTCTAAAAAAATGTGAGGATGCATGTCTTCATCCCCACTGGCCTCTTTCCACAAAATAAAGGCCCCTAGTAACTAGCTCCAAGCATTTGGGAGTAGCTGTGGGGGTAAGGTTGTATTGCCTGAGGATATACCTAAAGAAATGATGTAGAGGTAAACGCATGCCTCTACAAAGAATGACCTCGTTAACTGCGACGCACCCTTACCTTGGGAAAACATGCTCTTTCTTCAGGGCTTAGTACGAACAACTCTATGGTGTCAGGGATTCTATACCTCTCTTTATATTTGGCCATTTCACCTTCCTTAATGCAAGTCAGCCATAATTAAGCCTACAATCTAATATTATAGTCAATGGGTCATTCATGCATCATCCGGCACTATAAGAGCCTTTTTATCCTTTCCATGGGGATCAAAGCGGGCAACCCCATCTTTACAGCTATTACACTAATGTCAGTAGGACCTGAAGTTTTCTTAAAATCGGTCTTCCTAGAGATCGAGGCCATAAGTCCTACGAAAAGTCTAAAAATATGGAAAAACTAGAGAAATCCCCTAAAAGGAAGTTGTTTTCATAACCACACTTACGAATAGTCGATGTGCAAGTCGGAGAAGAAGGATAATCATCGAAAAAATTGAAATCCCCGAGAATTGCAGAGAAATCACTGAGTTTGACAAAGGCTTTCGCAAATTTGCACAGTAAAAGCTTATAAAATGGCAAGGGGTGCCCTTATATAGGTAAATGGATCTAACCATAGCTGCTCGCTCATCATGCTTTAAATCTGGGATGTCCAGCTATAACTCCCCATCTGAACCGTTGAATCCTAAAAGGTGCACATGCATGATTTGAATTGAGGCTCCAAATTTAAAAGTGTACCACATACACCTACTGGCACGTCGACTCAAACAGTCACAACTAAAATATCATCATTGTATATTTAATATATAGTACACACACCCTTATTGCACAAAAAAATTCCTGTATGACTTTTCTTGGGAAGGCGTAACGGTTCAAATCATTACACGTGCATCCCATCAATGCCAAGTTGTGGATGAACCCCTGATATGATCGGGTTGATTAAATGCCTTGTCAAGCTTTTTTCAACCTTTTGATAGACTTCATCAATTTTCAATGGCTCGCCCTCCGTGTAAGGGCCTCGCCAGAGCTCCTTTTAGCTTTGAGATAGTCTTTATCAGCTTTCAACGACTTGTTCTCCGGGTAAAGGCCTCTCCAGAGCTCCTTTCAGCCCTATGATAGGCTTCATCAGTTTGAGTGGCTCACCCTCCTTGTAAGAGTCTCAAAAGAGCTCCTTTCATCATTGTGATAGGCTTCATCAGCTTTCAATAGCTCACCTACCGTGTAAGGGACTCTCCAGTGCTCCTTTCAGCTTTGTACTAGGCTTCACTAGCTTTTAGGGATGGTAAAAAAACTGACAAATCCGATACCCCGTGGGCCCCGACAAAACGGGGCGAGGATAACCCGCTTAATTGGGTATTCGGGGCGGGGAATTATGCCCCGAGGCGGGGACGGGTAACGGGTACCCCGCCCCGCCTTGTTAAATTTTTTTTTTTAGAATTCAATATTTTAAATGAAAAATTTCATAAAATTTCATTAGTTCCGATAGAAAATAGCAATTAAAATTATTTATCTAAATCTAATGAATAAGGACAATAAAAATAAATTATCAAAAAAAAAAATTTTTAACGGGTAGTAAACGGGATAAGGACCGGGCCCGCCCGCCTCGCCTTAAATGGGTAACGAGGCGGGGAGGGCCCCCACCCGTTGCCATCCCTACTAGCTTTTAGTGGCTCACCCTCTAAGTAAGGGCCTTACTAGAGCTTCTTTCAACTTTGTGATAGGTTTCATCAGCTTTTAGTGACTCGCCCTCCTTGTAAGGGCTTGTAAGAGCTCCTTTTAGCTCCTTTCAACCTTGTGATAGGCTTTATTAGCTTTTAGCGGCTTGCCCCCATGTTAGGGCTTTGTAAGAGCTCCTTTTAGCTTTGTGATAGACTTCATCAGCTTTTAGTGGCCTGCCCTCCGTGTAAGGGTATTGCCAAGCTTCTTTCAGTTTTGTGATAGGTTTCAATAGCTTTCAGTGGCTTGCCCTCAGTGCAAGGGCCTCGCTAGAGCTTCTTTTAGCCTTATGATAGGTTTCATTAGCTTTTAGTGGCTCGTCATCTGTGTAAGGGCCTCATTAGAGTTTCTTTCAGCCTTGTGTCCAATTATTTCTTAAATCTACGCATTCTATGAATAGCCACACTTGGACTTGGGGGACTAGTGTGCTACGGTACAAATGTACCCCTCCGCAAGAGTGCTGACAAAGTTGAAATAATCCAGAAACAAAACGCGAGACACATTCTTTAACCTTAAATTATATGCTAGTCATTGAGGCTCTAGTTAAAGCCACATGGAAAAGCCTATTGTAAAAATATACGAGCACAAGCGCCATGTGCTTAGACGATAGGAAAGAGCCGAACTCATATGACGAAACCAAATTCATTCGTTGCAACTAAGCCACTTCAACTGAGGTGGACCACACGAGGAACCTCAAGAGAATCTTAATAAAAGATCTTATTGCAAGTGGATGATTTGACGTGTCACTGAAAAGGCTGCCCCACTCAATCAGTTGGTCATGTCAAGTCTTACATCATCACCACACCCATTGCAGCCTTGCCTAAGAATGAATGATTGATGCTTATGACATAGGAAGTCCAGCCGCGTAGATGAATCCACATGTACCTTCATCCAATAGTTCACCTTTACAGTCTCATACTATAAAAGTTCACACATAGTTCCATTCAAAGGTAATGCAAGCTCACATTCTCAGACTATACTCATAATTTTTTCTCTTGTTCTATTCTATATAGTACCCCCTAGTTCCGACCACCTTTTACTTTGATAAATCAATCCTAAGCCTATCACATATCCAATCATATATTCTACCCTATTGATTTGACTGTCAAAGTGCTTGCGGCCACCTCTCCTATCGTCAAAGTTTGGCTGTATGCCCTAATGGTTTGTTCAAATGTGCATGGCTATAGCTTATATGGACGCTAGAGGAATTGGGATTCGTTGGTTACGTCACTTCTACAAAAAGTGTGGTCAATAGATGGTGTGAAATTTAGTTTTGTAATCTGACATTTAATTATTTGTTGAGATATTCAATAGCATCCTCTCTCTATATTCTTCTTATTTTCTTGTTTACTCTCTCCCTAGTTCTATTTTGCTTTACTTTGGTTTCGATTGTAGGTGATTTCAACTGGGTTAATTCGTTCATCAAGCTATTTGAGTTGGTGGTTCCGAATTGAGGTCCAGTTCATGACAAATCTATAATATATTAAATATCGCACCGAGTGATAATCATTTTTTTTACGATATAGTCCTACTACAATTCAATTATTTCAATAATACCTTACATTTCGTTTTTCAATATGTATTGAATTTACAAAATGTAATCAACACTACAAAATCCATGTTCATACATGTATTCCCTGTTATTAATTCTTGATTAATTCACATTCACATTCATTTAATTAATATTAATTAGAATTTTAAATTCACATTCATGTCCTCATCTTTGTTATTAATATTCACCTTTATTTAATTAATATTAATAAGAATTTCACATTCAAGAATGCAGTTCATTACTCATGTTCATGTATGTTAATCAGTATTCAATTTCACTTAAATTATATTCATTGAGTAAATGATTTAACATTCATTATCACGTATATATTCTTTGATATTAATTCTAATTAATTTACATTCATGTTAGTTCATGTATCAGGCCATTTATTTTCATTTATGCATTTAGTTGTAATTCTAATACTCACATTGAAATATGCATTTTATTATTTACGTGCATGTATAATAATGAACATTTATTTTCAAGAGTATGCATTTCTCTCATATTTAGATTAAAAAGATAAATGGAGGATGAAATAATACTTTTACAACACTTGTAAAGTATTTCAAAATAACGTGCAACACACGTTAAACTCTGACTAGTATAATAAATAGAACGAAAACTAATAATTAACACTTCACTGAAATGAACCTGCAAGCAGATGTTGCGGAACCGTTCGTAAGCATTGCTCATATAGAAAGCATGGTGACACTTCGAGGAAATCTCCCGTCTTTGCAGTTTCTTTACGTAGTGAACAAGCTCATCTGAGCCTCGACGACACTTCTTTGCCACCACTCGCCACCCAGAGCATGGCCTTAGACTCACTGTTATTTTACTCATATCCATCTCAAAACACAACATTGATATACAACCTTTACATAACAAATTAAATTTTATGCACATACAATTCATAAGCAATGCGTATATGCGTTTCAACTCGAAAAGTATACAAGTTGGGTGGAAATCATTTTGGGTTTGAACCTTTTTCAATGAATTAAAAAAACCCAAAATCTCAGGACCAAGGAAAAGTTCAGGATTTTCCATCCAATTATTCAAACAAAATCCACGAGATAAATTTCACTTGCTCTCCTTTCCCAAAATGAGGTACTGATTACTCTCTGAACATATATGCACAAACGCCGATATACAAACGCGGATATATATGTCTCTATGTAGAATCTGTGTATGTGTAGGACAATTTATATAGATTGAGTCTCTATGTGAACGTGCGTAGGCATAGTATAGTGATATATGGAGAAAGATGAATATACCATTTTTAAAAGAACTTGATGTCCGACTCTAGTTCAAAATTCAAATGAATAAAAAGAAAGGTACAAGAGCCTTTCCATAAACTTTTTAAAGGCACATGCTTTTGTTGAAACTTTGTAAAACTTTAAACGTTATAAAATTAGAAACTTTTAAAACTTGAAAACCTAAATTCCTTTATTCCAAGATGATTCATGTCAATTCACCAAAAAAATTAATAATGCAGAACATACCTTCATTTTTTTGAGAATAATTCTTTAATACTTGATCTTGATTCCAGATCTTAAATCTTGATTATTGGCTCTTTAAATCTTAATTTTTTGTTCTTCAATTTAATTGCTCCAATCTTTCTTCTTGATTCTTGATTGTGGGTTTTAAATTTTCCTCTTCAATATGGTTTTTCTATTAATTCTTGTATTGGTGGGATGATACAAAGCATGAGAAAATGCTTATAAATTGGGAACCAAGCCCTATATATAATTTTCATATGTATTCGACCCATCGTCAAATACAAGCCCTAATGGATCTGGTCTCTATACATATAATTCGGCTCACACTTTGTTTAGATGCCCTAAACCTAACAATTTAATTCTTTATTAAATCACTTTAATTGAACTCAACTTTAAGATAATTTTATATACAATTAATTACATATGTATGCCCACAATGACAAATTAATAAACATAATAATCTCTCACTTGGGGCCACATATGTTACCTTATAAATATGTATAACCTTATAAAGTCAAAAAATTTACTATCATAACCAAAAGTATTTTCGAACAATCTCATCCATTGATTATATCAATATAAGATCAAAGTGGTCTTCGTTATAAATATCATAACTAAACCCTCAATGGTCACATATATCAACACAATCAAATGACACGGATCAAGTGTGGATGTGTAGCATAGAAATTACATGTAATATGATCCAAACATGCATATTTCCAACTGGTCCTATCTTATTTTTTAATGAGATCAACAACAAACTTTAATCAAAGTGGAATTGAATTGAATACTTTATTTCTAAAATAAATCGAATATCCATGGATAAAAATATAAGTCTAAAATAGACAACATCCAAATACAAACTTCCACTAAACTATATCATCAAAAGACGTAACACCCATATGAGTTTTATACTCATGAAAGAGCTATTTAGTAAATGGATCCATGATTATGAAGTTTGTCGTAATATGCTTTATAGAAACCTAACCACTCTAAATTTTTTTCTTGACAACTAGGAACTTAATGTCTATAAACTTTGACATCATTAGGCTCCTGTTGAAATACAAAACTGCTATTGTCACAGAATAACTAAAGTGGTATTTCAAATTCGTCCAAAATATATAACCTGGTGACAATATTTTGCAGTCATATTCTATTATCAGAATCAAAATATCCAATGATCTCCAATTGATCTGATTTTCTGAACGTGATCATATATTTCTTAGTTCTCTATAAATACCGAATAACCTAATGGCTGCTTTCCAAATTGCAATCCCTGAGTTAATTAATTACCTGCCTAATATTCCAACAATGAATGCTATATCTTGATATCTTCAAACCTAAGTATATATTAAATTCTCAACTATTGAGGTACATGAATATTTTCTGTATTTTTCTTTACTTAAATTTATCCTTAGGGTATTAATCGAGACTAAATTTGTCTCCCTTAACAGTAGGTATATCACCTGATTTACATATCTGCATCCCGAATCTCTTAATAACCTTATTGATATAATTCTTTTATGATAATAAAAAATACACCGAGAACGATCCCCGTATATCTATATCATTAATACAAAAGAAATTTCACTAAGATTTTTCATTTTAAAATTTCATAACAGAAATCTCTTAGTTTCGTGCAATAAGCTTATATCATTGCAGACAAGCAATATGTCATCGACATACAACACCAAAAAATATACTTACTCATATTGAACTTGTGATATAAACAATCATCAACTGAATTTATCTCAAAATCAAATGATATAATTATTTGATGAAATATTACGGGAAACCAACTTAAGCCCGTAGATGGATTTTTTAATTTGTAAACCATCTGACATAGTTTAAGATCAAAATATGCCACAAATTGTCCTAAAAGAGTTTTTCATAGAAATCGGAAAAAAGTCTCTTTAATGTCAAGTTTTTCTTTTGAGTAAAGTCATTTGCAACAAGACGAGCTTCATATCTCTCCACATCAGACTTCAAATCCCTCTTAGTTTTAAGAGCTTGTTTGGTAGGGATTTTTGAGGAAAAAATTGATTTTTGAATAGTGATATGATGGGAAATGTGTGGTTGAAAAAGAAGAAAAAATTATTGATGTGATGAAAAATATTATTTTATTGAAGAATGTGTAGTTGAAAATGAAATTGATTTGAGAATCAATTCTCAAATCACTACCAAACACCCCTTAAATATCTAATTACAACCAATGTGTTCCGCACTTCCAGGTAATAGGATGAGTTTCCAAACGTTATTGTTACTTATAAACTTTACCTCTTTAAACATGACATCAATCTACTCTTTAGAATTATTCTTTTGCATGGCTTGAAGAGATTGATTAGTTATTCTTCCATCAATCCATTACAACCTTATTTTCTTGGAGAAAAACTATAAAGTTATCCGGAACTGTCTCTCTTTTTTTTAGTAGATTTCTCTAATGACATTTGTTCTTGAGGTTGTTGAGTTTGTTTTCTAGAACAATTTCTTAATTGTGTGTTGGAAATTTTTTAATATTGTCTTAATCCGAAATTGCTTCTTGATCAAAATCTAGAGCAAGAATTTGTCATTAGTCCTGATCATTGTCAATTGCAACAAAAAAATATATGCATACTCTTCCTCCAAAATAAAATCCTTAAGCTTATAATCTTATCTCCCCCGTAAACTCTACATCTTAAAAAAATCGGACATTTTTCATTTCGAAAATTGACCTAATAGTGGGATCTTTTAAAAAAAATTTGTAACCCCTTAACAATTGTTTTACCTGGAACTTTGTTGAGAATTTAAGTTGCAGCATTTAGTGCTTCTACTTAGAGAGATTCAAATGTACTTTGGGACGCTTTTACGTTCCTCTAGAATTTTAGCAAAAAACCCCGGACATTAATCTCCTGATCTGTAATATCTATTATAGTATTTACCACTAGGTAAGATCTGACTTATTAAATTCTTTTACATAGTTATTTTTCAACCTTGACCTTATATGTCTTGAACATGTCCAGTGTTTGAGATTTCTTATAGATGAGATATATGTAGCTATAGTGAGAAAACTTCGTTTATGAACATAATAAATTATTGTTGACCATTCCAAGAAGTTGAAATGAATGGTCCATAAATATTCGTATGAATTAGTTCTAAAATGCCAGAAATCCTATTGGCACATAATCTCCTTGTGTTTGTTTGTTTTCTCTTAATGCAATTAATATAAACACTTAAATCTGAAAATTAAGGGAATCAAGAATTCCTTCTGATACAATATTTTCCATTCTCTTTTGAGGAATGTTACATAATCGTTTCTGGCATAACGAAGTAAAATTCTCATTAATTAATTTATGTTTAATAACATGTGAATTCACATGCAAGGTTTCTTTATAAGAGACAGTCGTGTTAACAGATTTAAGTTATCGTAACTGGATAAAGAACTGGTATCTACAATATTTGAACTAAGAAAAAGATCAAATTGACTATTTTCAATTGAACAATAGTAACTTAATTTGTCCAATTAAAAATAGAAACCAAAATTCTGTCTAAAAGATGGTACCACAAATATCTATTTCATATTCAAATCATAACTAGTATTTAATAATAACCTAAAAGTCCCTATAGTTTCAAGCTTAACTGATTTGTCATTTTTCCACATAGATGAATCTTTTAATATCAATTGGCTTTTGCTATTTAGGTAACCTCACATAGACACACTTATGTGAGTGGTGACACTAAACATTTTATCGACTAAGTGTGTTTAGGTATTGAAACAAAATTAACCTCAAAACAAATCAAAGTGAGAAGTGTATTTTTTTTCATGCCAAGCGTGGTATTTAGTACAGTATCTCTTTATGTATCCCAAATTTTCACAAAAGTAACAGCTATATTTATCATTTTTCAGGCTTTTGTTGTTTATTTTGAACCAAATCGGATGCAGCTTTCTAACTCTTTATAACTTGTCTTTAAAAGTACTTGTCAAGTGAGTAATATGAGTTTTAATTTACTTTAGCCTTTCTTTTTCTTACACACAATATGGAATGAGCTCATCAAGAGTCCTCTTTTTCTTTTTAATATTTGTAACTGACCTTAAATTAGCTGAATTGTGCAAGAATAGAAATCAACATTAAATACACGGGCAAGTCATCAGATAGCTCAACATTTCACGCTTTTAGTTTTAGAGCAAGATGAGACATTTTCATGATGTATTCCCTTATACTTTAGTGAAGTTCCGGCCTTATTACCTTTTGTAAAACGTTTTTTTTTCAATTTCATAAAAAAACTCCTTGGTAGTAGTTACATTATTGAACACAACTTCCCTGAATGCTGCTAGAATTTCACGTTTCATGATTATAAGACTTATGCGGTTTG